AACTTGATTTCTAAACGTAAAAAAGGTAATAAAAATGCATTTAAAGCTTTAATTTGTAATTTTTTGGTTGATTTAAGAATTTTACAAATGTCTTAGCCACACGGTTGTTAGTTTTATAAAGAAAATAATTTTTACACTGAGGTTCAGTTTTCCCATATACATCTAAACTATAATAAAACTGTAGTTTGTCTGTTTGTCTGTTTGACCTCACTAATCTCCGGAGCTAGTGAATGGACGTAACCTAGGTTATAAAAAAATTAGATCTAACAAGGGGGCGTGGCACCACCCAAAGGCGTGACATTTTTAATCACATTCCCACGACAGCCGGTTCTACGTACCGGAATGACTCGGGTTTTACCCGACCAAGGGCTGTTGTTTCGGCGATCTAACCCCGTCTAGATCGGCGATACCCACCAATCATTATTCGTCCATGGAGCAATACCTTGCAGCCGGATTGCTCCGCATCTTTCTTCTCCGCGCGGGCGTAGAGCCCAACCCCGGACCTGAAATTTACTTCTGCTGTGTTTGCCAGAATCGACTCCACCCGAACTCCACTTCGGTTAGGTGCAACTCCTGCAACGGATGGAGTCACCTAAGAACCTGCTCTGGCCTTAGGTCTCACCGGGAGTGGACNGCTTGTAAAGGTATTTTTAATAAAATAGTAAGTTAAAACATATTTAAATTGCTTTATATAGCAGAAAAAGGGGAAATCTTTAGCTAATTGTACAACGACTTAGGGGTGGGGGACGGAGGGGGAGGGGGCGTGGCTCCCCAAACCCCCCTAAACGAAGGAGGATGAACGCCGCTTTATGAAGTCACCCCTCACATCGTCGATAACGATGTTTAACCGCAGATTAGTGTTAACCAGCCATTGAGTAACCGGCCCTTAGCCGATTGGGTATTTGAGCCTCAGCCTGGTGTAATTAATCAAAACCACTTGAAGGATCGATCAATTTGCTATCCCATATAAATTAACAGCCCAACACTTGCTTTTGTATTTAAATGTCGCCAATTCAAAATTATAGTTGCGTTTGCAATAACAATAAATAAGTCTCAAGGTCAGACCCTAGCAAGAGCATTGCTTAACGCATGGCGTTTTGAGTAGAGTACGATCTTGCCCAAGTACCAAGTTGAAGTTAACCACCAAAAGCAATGCATGTGGTTTTTAGAATAAATAAATATGCAGATTTTTTAGACCACGGAGCACCCCGATTTTCGGGGATTATTGTTAGTAACTCATAATATAGATAAAGCACTCACGCAATTAATATATAACACAATTTTATTAAAAGCAGATGAGTTCTGCTATATATTTTTCTTCCAAACAGTTGAATTATGAATAGTAAATTATTTGACAGTACTTTGAACACAACCAAAATGTATACACCTTGAACACAACCTATTTGAAACTCACTCAAAAAATTTACTTAGAACTTGATTTCTAAACGTAAAAAAGGTAATAAAAATGCATTTAAAGCTTTAATTTGTCATTTTTTGGTTGATTTAAGAATTTTACAAATGTCTTAGCCACACGGTTGTTAGTTTTATAAAGAAAATAATTTTTACACTGAGGTTCAGTTTTCCCATATACATCTAAACTATAATAAAACTGTAGTTTGTCTGTTTGTCTGTTTGACCTCACTAATCTCCGGAGCTAGTGAATGGACGTAACCTAGGTTATAAAAAAATTAGATCTAACAAGGGGGCGTGGCACCACCCAAAGGCGTGACATTTTTAATCACATTCCCACGACAGCCGGTTCTACGTACCGGAATGACTCGGGTTTTACCCGACCAAGGGCTGTTGTTTCGGCGATCTAACCCCGTCTAGATCGGCGATACCCACCAATCATTATTCGTCCATGGAGCAATACCTTGCAGCCGGATTGCTCCGCATCTTTCTTCTCCGCGCGGGCGTAGAGCCCAACCCCGGACCTGAAATTTACTTCTGCTGTGTTTGCCAGAATCGACTCCACCCGAACTCCACTTCGGTTAGGTGCAACTCCTGCAACGGATGGAGTCACCTAAGAACCTGCTCTGGCCTTAGGTCTCACCGGGAGTGGACCACAAACTTTGTGGCTCCCT